CACATTCGGCTTGATCTTGTACAAATATTATTTTCTATTTTATGGTGTGATGCCGTCTGGTTGTCTGGTATATAAACCCAGTATGCTTGAAACAAATGATTCGCATATCAGAAGCTGTAATTGGTGTTTGGACTCAATTGGAAGGGCTAGGCGGACAAGGGACCAATAAGGATGCTAGACTGCTCATACCGGTCAAACGTCATTGTTTTTGGCACAGTGCTAAGCTTGGAAAAGTCATATTCCGATTATTGGATAACTCACGTGATAAAAGCCGGACACAAAATAACAACAAATTGGCGACGGCCTTTTACAAAGTCACAACAATAGGCATAATATTATCTCATTCTATGTCTGCCGTATATATTTCGAATTGATGACGGGGTTTTGCCAGGGATTGATTCAAAACTTGTAATTTCACTAAGTCACTGTTTAATACTGTATGATAATTTTAACATTTAGAATAGATCGGTAAGAATCCTGGGAAGTAGGCTTTAAGCTGATCGATACTCCTCAGAAATTTGTATACAGAATCTTGAGGTAATAAATGCTAGTTTGAGATTCAACTATGGAGTTCAGTTACCTAAATGCGTGTCCACACTGAATTTAATCAACACAAAGGATATACACAGATATCGTATGAAATTAAACGATTGGAAAAATACTAGCCCATACATAATTACTATTATGAAAAATGATTTCATTCAGTATTCCTATTCTCTTTTAGAAGTCAAATTATATATGACCTGATATAAGTTTGAATAAAATAAACACTTCAGCATACACTAATATTACAGCTCGTATGCAAACATAAAGTAACGAAGATAAATATCCTGGGTAAAGCACCAAACTTTTGTAATTAAAGTACCATATCTTTTCTCAACTTTATTTCAAAACAATAGTCACTACATTAATCTGTCCATAATCATTTGGACTGCTGATAATAATATCAGAGTTTCCATTGATCTAAATTGTTCTTAAAGAATTTCACATTCCACATTGAAATATCTACTAAAAGTACATCATATAACTGTTATTCTACTTAAAAATCTATCACATGTCTTTTTAAACTTTAAAAAGTTTAAGTTTTCTTGCAATACTTGTTTCAATCTTCATATATAAGTGATACACATGTAAATTGAAACAGAGATATAAATGTTTGTTTCGTTGAAAACATAATCAAAAATGAGCAGCGTAAGCATTCATCATATTAATTCATCAAATAATTATAATAGAGATGGAATATACTTATTCAATCAATTCCGGATCATGACAATTCAAGGAGTAGTCAACCAAATGAAGGTCAAAAGGTGATGTCCATACCTAATAGGAGTTTTTATGGAGAGAATCAACAATCTTCTACTGTCTATCCAGTTGAAAATAGACCAGTTCTTCAGTCTTTTAATCAACCACCTTCACCCTATTCATATAGAAAAACACCAGACCCACCTGATACTCGCCCAGTAAAAATAATTCGATATGTTTCTCTGTCGAAAATTCCGTCGACAGATGATAAATCTTCTCAAACACTTACTGACCAAGAGTTAGAAAGACAACAGTCTTTGGTCGTTCAGTCAAGTTATTCCTCAAATACTTCCTCAACAAATAATTACTTTTCAGATTCTCGGAATCTTCGTAAATACAGGTCAGCTAACTCATTTTCACCATCTGAATGGCGTGAACCAATAAAAACAACAACTATTTTATCAAGACAGCCAAGTTTCTCTTCAGCATCACCGGTATGTAAAGACAGGGAGATCATCCCTGTAAATGCTAATGATGACAGTATGAATAAGAATACAGATATATACGAACCAGAAGTATGCATTAAAAAGAAACTTTCACAGGGTTCAAACCATTATATTTATATTACACATGGAAGAAATTCACCTTAATTTCTTACATTAGTGATAGTATTTAAATAATCAAGGATGACCTAACCATTTTTCTTAAAAGAACGAGTTACAGTGATTTCCGTGTTTCTTTAATTGTAATACATTCACATTTTAATAAATTTTATTCTTTTAATTTATTTTCCATTACATCAGCAAGATATTGTACTCCGTAAGTTTTGATTCACGTAAATTTTGAATAGTGATTAATTCCATACTACTTAAAACTAGTGAAACGCATCAAGTCTATCTTATGGACTTAGTTCCTTTTATTGTCACTTGAGGTTTACTTCTGGCAATTGCTTATCTATCATATCTAGTCACTTATTATAACTAGTGCATACTGAATCTATTTATTTGTTGAGATTAAAACAGATATAGGGACATTATGAGCAAAGATGAATAGTGGTTAATAGTGGAATGCAGGACGCGGGCTTCGTCCTATTTGGAACTCGTCAGCTGGATGTACCTGCATCTCAGAGTTGATGTTCACTATGGAACTGAAACCCAGTTCCATTCGCTTCAAATGCCACCACGTTATCCACATAGCCGCTATCCATCTTTGCTCATAATGCTTATGAATTGAGGCTATATTGAGGCAATACGCACAGTATTCACATATGCCAATTAGAGATTGATCAATTTCAGTCCTAAACATCAATGGGAAGATTCAACCAAACAATACCAAGTGAATTTAGATATAAGGACAGTTTCAATTAGTGACGTGCAAAAGTTAGAAAACCAATAAAGATTAGGGAAGTCGTCAGCTTTGCTCATTGACAATGTCACACGGGATTCAAACCAGTCCTGCTAGTACATTAACGGTCATGATATGATTCAAGCGCTAAGTTTTATAATTTCTATAAATCACGATAAATAATTATTATTACCGTCTAGTTTCGTTGAAGGATATTTGTGTAACTTTGTACACATTTAACTTCAGAAGTCACAGAATCTTACTTTAACTTCATTCAACCTAAATCAGCGTAACTCAATAATCAAGTTCAGATTCTTGTCAATGTGTATAAGAGCTGGATTGCTCAAACCTAGTTGAAAGAGATTCGAACTTATCATCTACTAGTTGTAAGTCGGAAAGCTCATTTACTAATAAAATTTAGCCTCATATTGTAATATTTTAATCATACAAGTCTGTTCACCAAACGAATATGAAACACATATAGATGACCAACTAGAATAAATTTCATTCTTCTGTACTTACCAAGCACTATAGATGGAAAAAAAGTCAAAGTAATTTTTATGCTGTGCTTTCACTTACCGTTGAATAAGGACATTCAAAACAATAATCTAAAACAACTTTTTTATACCAACAAAAATACAGTACAGCATAAGAAGATTGAATTACTCGACTTATCTTTGATACACACATATCTGGTTTCTCATTACATTTTATTTTAATGGCATTAATGTCATGCTTGTTAAGTCCTTAATGTTGTATACGATCCATTGGTCAAACTGTACAGTATCTAATTGTTTTAATAAATTGATGATGAGTTCACTATATTCTGACGAGTGCTAACTAGTAAGAAACAAAGCTTCAGAGATTACTACGAATTGTCTTGAATAATCTACCTTTCTCACAAATATGCTTTCAGAAGTGAATAAGTTGAAGACACGAATAATAATCTAAATTCAAAAGCCTTATAATGCATTACCTCAATCCAGAATGGAAACAAACAAATGTTAGAGTTGATCGATCACTGAGTGGTGACCATGACAATGCTTGTCTAATTTCTTAGCGTTGATCAAACTTTATTTATCGGACTGTACTGTGACCAATATTTTAAGAGATGCATTATAACGAGTTCCGTGTTGGTAGCCTACAGGAAACCTTTAAAGTAGGTTCTATGCCGCTTGGCATTCACCTGAAAGATGCACTAGAAGTCTTAGAGGAACTGATGTTCTATCTGAGATCCGGTTAACACCAAAGGAGTAAACAAACATGAAGCTAGCCATTTCTTTATTATCAATAAGTTGTAGACATCTAGTATTCAGTCAGTTACTGTTCGAATAACTCATTGATAACATCTCAAACTATGAAGCTAAGTAAATCAAACTAAATTTGAAAAGGAGAATCAGTTTCCTGAAATTAATGGTTTGCTTTGTTAATCTTTTTTTTGAATAGTACTATGATATTTTGTTAAATCATTTGAGAAAATTTGTTGTAGATATAACATTACGAAAACTAAATGATAATCCTTTCTGATTTTTAGTCATTATTTACAAATATAAAATATCAGAAGGGGGTTTTGTGGAGATTTGAGTAACTTTATATAGTTGAAATCATGAGTCAGTTGAAGCTAGACCACCATGGAAAACCTGGAAGTACGGCTTGACGGCCGTTTCGTCCTATAGTGGGACTCCTCATCAGTGTGCACCCATGACCCCGCCTCGCGAGATTCCAACCCAGGACCTACCAGTCTCGCGCGCGAGCACCCAACCGATAGGCCATTGAGCTGGCATCCAATGGTGTTAATGTCTAACTTCAACCAACCCACGAAATTGAGCAACCATTCACCAATATCTTCAGTGAGTTGATATTTCCTAACAGACCTGGTTGAACTCCATACCTCATGGAGCCAGTACCTAGTGAGCATATGATCATTATCGGAAGGGGGTTTTGTGGAGATTTTAGTAATTTTATATAGTTGACATCATGAGTCAATTGAAGCTAGTTCACCATGGAAAACCTGGAAGCACTGGATGGGATCGTGGATGCACATTGCTGAGGTGTCCCACTATAGGACGAAACGGCCGTCAAGCCGTGCTTCCAGGTTTTCCATGATGGTCTAGCTTCAATTGACTCATGATTTCAACTATATAAAATACCTTTTAAATTAGTTAAAAAAATAATTTCTAAACTCATATCTTAAATCGTAATATCTTACTGACTAAGATAAAGTTGTTAATCCTTCCAAAAAAAGAACAAATAACTTGTGGTCTAACTAATGACATTTATGAGTATCACTGTAAGGTATAATTTATATTAAAGATTGTACTTTTAACTATGATGAAATTTATAGATTCTTAGAAGCCAAAAAAATGCAGTTTAAAATAATATTCCTTTTCGTTTTAAAAGTACAAATCATCTTTATAATTAGATAGTTTTATTTTATATAATGTGTGAATAGGAAATAAAAAGTATCTTTTTTTTATTCATTAGAATGAAAATACTTTATAGGGTATCTAATCTAAATGTTTAACATCAATAGTAATAATTCATAATTAGTTAATTTGGTTTATATACAGTGATGGATGTGATACTAGATATGAAATATGTTTATCTGTATACATTAAAACTCTTTGGACATATTTCTGATGTTTAGGCTTTATGAAATGAACATGGGAAAATTCAAACTTGATGAATAGAATTAAAGAGTCATTGATCAAATTCAGACTAATAAATAATAAACATAGTGTTGCATTTTATTACGTAAACGATCAGACAGTACCAATATTTATGGTTTTTATTACTAGTTAAACAAAGGGTTCATTGGCGGAAAGACAATTTGTTGTTTAACTTTGTCTGCTATCAAATTATATATCTGAAAAGAATAAATAACTATCGAGAACAATATATAAATATATATTACAGTGTTAATGATGGTAATAGGTTTCGTGCGTAAACGCTTGGTCTCTAGACTGTAGAATTCGAGTCCTGTGTTGGAGTCGTGGATACGCACTGCTGAGGAGCCTCATGATAGGACCAAACAGCCGTCTAGTGCTTTCAGGTTTTCAGTGATGGCCTAACGTTGATCGATTCAATCAAATACTCAACAATCTCCATAAATCTATACTGATATAAGATTAGTTTTGTCTTCACACTACTCTGTTAAAAATTGAATTTTCTAAGTAACAAGTGTAACCTGATCTTTGGTAACTGATATTATGTAAACAGTTGAAATTTCACTAATCGTCTAATTTTTTATGTCTGAATATAAGTCTGTTATCTACTTTGATGTCCTCAAAAAAGGAAACATGAGATTTGGCTTAGTTGTTTAAGTCCATTGTATTATTGTGACTTTTGTTTTCTCAACTGTGGAATATAGTTATTCAATAAAGAAAATACAACTAAACAAATAAAGTGATGTATAAATGGATATCATGTTGACAGTAAAAATATAAATGAGTTATTTATAAATCTATCAGTCCATCAAATGATCAGCAAGAAAGTTGGCTTAATAACGTTATATTGTTATTTTACTTGTATTCTACATGATGTATTCACTGAATTGATAAGGAAGATGGTATTTAATGAAATAAACAATAGATTCAAATTTTCTATGTATGATGGTATTAGGAAAGAGTATTATAACTCAAGAAAGCACTTAAACAAGCCCATAACTTGTAAGATCACAGTGGTGCAAGTTAAACATACACTGCGTAATATACATTCGACTTTGGTTCTTTCATAAGATATTGTATATGTCTACATATGAGGGATGGTTATATTTTCAAGAGAAAAGAATTCATAATCCATCTACTCATACCACATAAAAAACTGTTATTTTTACCATCACTATTTGAAGAAGATTCGTGAAGATTTTTCGAAATGAAACCTATGCATATCTTAGAAATGAATTTTGCTGGCTACGAACATGCAAGAACTGGTATTCACGCGTAATATGTATGGCTGAAAGATTAAGTATGATAGTTATGAAAACTGATAGTTAAATGCCAGATATTTTTTTCCTGTACTCATAGTTTTCATATCAGAGAGAAATAGTAAATAATATCTACTGTGCTGCAAATAGGTGCAGTCTAAAGGTGTTTACTTTGAAGGAAAATGCCTTTTCAAAATTAGGTCGAAGAACAATTTATAAGCGCGTTTGGGGTGCCACACCAGTAATCACTTACGTTTTCACCTACAGTCGTACCTAAGACACACAGATTTTGTAATATGCTCGATATCGTTACACTAGTCACTCATAATCACTCAGTCTGTAAAATGTTATAGTCTTCATTCAAAGCTTTCAGTATATTACTAACTTACCTGTGTTTGAACTGAACCCACCGAAAATTATTTCTGAATGCAACCTTTCTCAGCTTCTGTCAATAGTGACAAAACAACTATTCATACAATAGACGATTTGCCAGAAATATTTTGTATGTTTACAAACTCATTTTCATCTAGTATTTGGAAGTGGACACACAAAGATAAGAAGCCCTTAAATTAGAACGAAAATTGTCATCCAATCCTTAATATTTTTCAGCTGATACCATTTTGTAATAATATCATTTTTAAGATCCAAAAACATTTCTCCCTAAGAACCAATTAGGTATATGGAAAAAACCATTTAGCTCAGAAAATGCGTTAGTTTTTGTAAAAATAAATTTTTCTATGTTAAATCAGAATTTTTATTCAATTAACGATCCATAGTTAAATCTTTGAAATGTTGAAAACCATTATGTCACATCCCACTGCGTTTACCAATTTAAATGTGTGTGTGGTCACACATACATAGGGAGGAGCAATCGTGATCTGAAAATTAGGGTGTGTGAACATGTACCGAAATGGTTGCAGAAACAAATAGAATCAAATGACCCGATACGAGTAGAGGATAAACATTCATCATCCTCTATTGCCAAACATATAATCGAAACAGGCCATAAGATTGATCTTAACTCGGCTATTGTGGTGTTGTATAAAAGTGTAAAAGGGCGCATATTAAAGTTTATTGAAGCTTTAGCCATACAAAAACTCAAACCCCCTTTGTGTATTCAAAAACAGTTTGTTCTCTCCTTAAACCTACCCTGGTAATAAATGCTTATTACCCAGAGTCATTAGGTTTCAAATTGTTTTCACATTATTATCTTTATTATCCTTGTCTACTCTTACCCCCCCCCATTTCCAGTCTAGTTGACCTTTTATTTTATATATAAGTGTTCTTAACAAGTATATGTGTGATCAGATTGTTCGAAATGTATTGTGCTAATACATATCATATAGTTCTTATAATCTTCGTTTTCTTATTACACTATTGAAGTTAACATTATTTACTAGTCATCTCAACATTAACAATATTGTATTTTATTATAATTAATAGAATTAATAGAATGCTTCCAGGTTTTCGATGGTGGTCTAGCTTCAATTGACTCATGATTTCAACTTTGAAATATACTGAAATCTCCACAAATCCCCTTCTGATTATAATCATATGCTCACTAGTGACTGATTTCAAGATACATGTCCTGGAGTTCTAGTGGGAAGCAGTGACCAGTGGAGTTCAACCACGTCTGTTGTGAGATAACAACTCACTGAAGGCAATTGGTGAAGTGTCGCTCATAATTCGTGGATCAGTTGAAGTTAGACATTAACACCGACGGTTGCCGGCTCAGTGGTCTATCGGTTAAGGGGGTCGTGGATGCGCACTGCTGAGGAGTCCCATAATAGGACGAAACGGCCGTTCAGTGCTTCCAGGTTTTCGATGGTGGTCTAGCTTCAATTGACTCATGATTTCAACTTTGAAATTGACAATATTATTTTATTTCATCAACAATCCTCCGTGTAATTTTTTAAAGATATATTTGCCTTATACTTGGCTACCCCTTTGAAACACTAATTTGGATGTATAACTGATATGCAGTAATAATAATACATAAAAGGATAACCTTTGTCATCCACCGAAAGCCTATCAATTTGCCAAATAAGACCAGTTTACAATTTAAAATATCATAGCTAATAAACCGTGACAAATAATGTCGTATTTCTTTTCGGCATTAATAATTTACCTCTTTTGGGACATATTTTGGTTAATTCTGTAGGTTGACTAGGTTCACCAGTTCCTGCGGCGTTTACAGCTCTCACACGGAATTCATACTCAGCATTCTCATCAAGACCATCAATATGAGCATTATTATTCATAACAGGTTTTCCGTCTGGTGTAGCGGGTTCCCAGTCAGTAGCAAACTTTTTCCTTTTCTCTACTAAATAACCAGTGACACGAGCACCTCCATCTTTCATTGGCTTAGACCAACTTAAATCGACAAAGTTCTTCCCAACATCTTCAATAGTAGGTGTACCAGGACTATCAGCTGTGGCTAAAATAAAGAAATACTGTTTACAGTGATACTATTTTCATATTTATAAGTGTTGAAAATCTTCATAAAAATAAGATACAACAGACTGACTAATTATCGTTCTCAACAGTTGTTCTATTACTATAATATTATAATATTGTTCGGTGTAAAAATTTAAATAGTTTCTCATTTTTTTCAAAAAAAATATCTTTTTATTACATGAAAAATACAAATCGTTTTCTTAACTAATCAAACAATTGATCAATTAATGAATCGATATATGATTGCGATTATTTGATTTTCATATTGAATACATAATCAAAGGAAGTATACATATATACATAGATTTTATAGTACAATTAGTATCTACTCATTTCACATTATAACTCACTTTACTAACATTTTACTAATCGATTTAAATCGAATCATTGGTTACACTTGTGATTATTTCGAGAAAAAAAAACAGTTTACACCATTTATCTGATTGGTCATTATGAAGATGAATGAAAAAAATAAAATAAATTTTTCTCTGTCTCTCTAAACTATAATATCAATATTTATGCATATTGATCATTGAATTTATACATGTTTGTTCAATGTAGATAATATGAACATGATTATACTATTCATTTTTATTTAAAGACTTTGAGCATTCAATAAATCATATACACAATTTAGATTTTTATTAATTTGTACCCTCTATTTTTTTCTTATTCAAATAACCACGATAACAAAAAAACCAAAACCAAAACTCAAATAAACATCCTACTTTTATTATTGAAATGTAATATGAATATATATAGATGTATCTATACAATGAGATTGTATATATTATTTAAATTATAATCTAATCACATTCATTTATTCAGTCAGTCAGTCAGTTACAACGTGGAACTTCGTACGTAGGCAGGAATAATCTAGTTAAATTAATGATGAATAAACATTCATTAACTACTATTACACCACTATTATGTATTACAATACATATAGAAAATTATATAGAATTACAAATTAATGATGAATATAATTTACCAATATTACAATATCGTTATGAACAATATTTTAAAAATCCATGGAAACAACCTAAAAAATTAATTAAAACTAAATTAATTTTAACTTATACATCATTAATATTAAAAGATGCATCATGGTGGCCATTTCGTTTAGAAAATTCTATTAATTATAATAAAATACAAAAATGTTTTATTATTAATCAAAAAAATTTAAAATTTGCAATTGGTTTATATGATGAAAATTATATTGAAAAACAATTTATTATAATTAAAACAAAAAATATTTATGATTTAGAAAAATTAATACAATTTATTGATACACAATTATTAATATGGAAATATACTATAAATAAACAAATTAATTATTCTTCTAATCAAAGAGACAACACAACAAATAATAAACAATTAATATCATTTGATAAAACATTAAATAGAAAAAATTTAATGAATAAAAAATATACTACTCATAATAAAAATGATAACAATATAATGAATTCATTAGAAAATAATAGTAGTATATTAGATATCGATTATAATACTAATAATAATAGTAATAATAATAATCCTCGGTATTATTCTCAACAATGTGCTCAAGATGATAATGATTATAAATCAATATTACAAATATATCCTAATGTACATAATAATGATTTCTATCATGATAAAAGAATAATTGAAACCATTCCAAGTACATCCAATCATTTTAAATCTAATAATGAATATCAAAAACGACGAATAAGAAAAGAAAAGGAAGGATTCAGAAAATTAAAGAATAAACATTGTCAAACAGATTTAATATATATTGATGAAAATAATATAAAATCATGGGAAGTTGATATTAAACACGTACGTTATGATCCTATACAAGGAAATATATTAGATGATAATGGTTCAGTTTATTTATATTCTGCACATGAAATTGATTAATTTATTTAATAAATAATTAATCAATTTTTTGTTGTCAAGGGATTTATTAAGATTAAATATGTTTTTAATTCTGATTTAATATTTTAGTGTAATGAATGGATTAATGATTTGTTCATTTTGTATTTTATTGACAACTATATATTTCATGTTTATCATATTGACATACTTTTTAAAGTGATATTCTATATCCGAAAAAATTTCGCTGTAATCTATATTCATTATTAAATAAATTGAGATAAACAAAATTGAGATAAATTGTTGTATGCGTTGCTAAGTAAATGTAATAAAAATAACTATTGAGATGTTTAACATTAGTAAGTAACTTACTTTAAGAATGGATGATATAGGAAAAGTTTTATTATAGGATAATAATTAGCTTAATTTATTAGAGACACTAGCTTAATTTACTACTGAGAAACATAAATATAAACTATTATAAATATCTTGTAAATATTCAAAATATATTTTATTCTGAACATATATATATTAAGGGGGGGTGTTTGTGAAGATTTTTAGTAATTTTTATATATAATTGAAATCATGAGTCAATTAAAGCTAGGCCACCATGTAAAACCTGGAAGCACTTGACGGCCGTTTCTTCCTATTTTGAAACGGGATCGTGGATGCGCACTGCTGAGGAGTCCCACAACAGGAAGAAACGCTAATCCAGTGCTTCCAGGTTTTCGATGGTGGTCTAGCTTCAATTGACTCATGATTTCAACTATGTATAAAAATATATATATTAGATAAACTTAAGTAAACAGAAGATTCCAGTGGGATAAACTAAATTGTTTATCAGTTCAGATAGTTGATTACCTTTAAGAATCTGGACTGAAGATTTTTACTTGGTTTGATAGTCAGATATAATTCGATTGAATTCTAACCTAAAAATTAACTTATTTTTACTTAGTTACATCGAGTTTGTCAGGATGGATTACTTATAAACTTGAATGAAAATCACGTTAATATCATAAATTGACTGAATTCAAAAGTGCGGATCACTAAATTCTAATTTATTTGTATATTGATTTTATCTTAGTCAAATAAACAGAAGAGATTGCTCTAATCGCCTACAATAAATGAATAAGTTTAACAACAAGTTACGAACATATTGTGTATTTCGGATGATATTTTAGTGTCAACGGATATCAATGTCTAGTAAAGATAAAGGTTGAAGCTCGTATAAACTATTGATGTAATATTACCAACTCGTTTTTCAGTTTTAATAGCTTTGATAACTTGTTACACTCATTTTAATTTTATTCAGCATGAAAAATTTCATCACTGTACTTATTACTGAATAAAAGATTTTGAAAAAAGGCTATCTAAAGCTTTTGGAAAATTTTTAAACAAATGTATAGTGTAATTGAAATCAAGAATCAATCAATGTTAGACCATCATTGAAAACCTGGAAGCACTCAACGGCGTTTTTCCTAGTATGCGACTCTTCAGCAGTACACATCTAAGACCTCACACACCAAATTAGGACATAATACCTTCGGTGTCTCATGAATGTTCAACGTCTAGATCAATGAGTGGTGAGTGATGAGACATACAGAATTAAAAGCAAATTCATTCAATTTTAAGTCCACAAAGATATAACTGTCGTTCGACAAATTCAAACTTTCATCAGTTGCAGTTTTGAAGACTATGCTTCCATTCAAGTAAAAACTTAGGAGTACTAATTTCTAAAATCTTGTAGAAGCTCTTTTCTTAATTTCTTTTGTAAACCTCTTACAAGAAGTACACTTAAATCCAATAATACAGTTGGCGGTAGTGTCAAAAGAGTTATAATCAACTTTTGAATACATTATATGTGAAAAAATAATATTTGAAATAGTCTCAGCGATTGAAATTTAAATAATTCCAACGTTTCGTCCAGCTAACTTGTCTGGACTTCTTCAGGGAAATTATTTGGAATTATTTAAATTTCAATCGCTGAGACTATTTCAAATATAATTTTTTTTTCACATATAATGAATTCGCTATACTCAGCGCCCAATTATTGTCAAACTATTCGTTCTAATCTTGACGAATATTCGTATAAACTTTTGAATAGTTTAATAAGTAATTCATATTGTACACTGAAGGAGAATGTGTTTTTTCGTGCTCCCCTAATTCTTCTATAAATTCTTATTAAAATCTTATCCACACAAAATAGAAAAGAGAGTTTCTTGTTACGATTACCGGACTATGTTTCATCGTATTTCTTAGAAATATTTTTTAGATATACATCTATATGACTCTTTTCAATGGTTCTTTTATTTTGTTACTAAACTAATATTCCAAAACTCACAGTTTTTCGACAAGATATTTAGCTACCACGACAAAAACTATCTTAATTTAAGTACTACCTCATCGATGTCTCTTTCTTCTATATGATTTTTTAAATAGTTTTATAATTTTTTTTGTTTTATGTCAAGATCTTAATAGCTAAATTGGATATCATTAGTCACTTTACAGAATAACGGATTTGATACAGCTAGCCGTTTTTCTCTCTTCAACTGAAAACGTTATTGATGTAACAGAATGATCTAAAGCAGCTAACATTCTGTAGTTGAAAATAACTTTTACAATAGTTTATATGATATGATTTGTATTTATTTAGGCTAGTCTAGGACTGAAATGAATCCATTTTCTAGCACAAGATGAATCATGCTGTTCAATATTTTCAGAAGCTATTTGTAAACTCTTTAGTGTTAATCACTTCCTGATAACCGCCGTCATTATTAATTTCTTATTACCTTTTGTAAAATTTTTGAATGTTTATCGATAAGATATGAATTCTTGAATATTATTCCACCATTAGTAATATCGATTATAAAATGATAGATTAGAAATGAGGTAATGAGAAGATAACATTCGTCATAATCATTCGTTATTTTGGTATATTAGATTTAGAACGATTTAATCGTACGCTACTTTTGTTAAAATGGATTTAAATGATAGATACAAAGATCAAACTATGAAATAAATAAAAGTATAATGAGGTGAAATAGAGCTGCTCACATTACCTTTGATACTGAAAATGTGAATTAGTATAATCATTGTAGGTTTATTGTATATACAAACGTTTTTGAATATATGTGTGGTTAAGACTCCAATAAAGCCGAGTATTCATCGTTGATCACTTTCACAAAACATTATAAAGATTGTCTTTGAATGGATTTTATGAACTAATTCTGCTTTACGTTTATCAATAAAAGAAAATGAGTATTTATTATCTGTCCATTGGAATTTGTTTGTTTTCATAAATATTTAGGGAAATATTCGACTATTTCCATTTGGACATTCTGATTACGTCTCTCTATGTGTTGTGTGAACATAGTTTGATGAGATCGCTTGTAACAAGTTTGGTTGTCTAATCAAACATAGTTTTTGGTTTCTCTAAATGTGATAGAGATTTTGAGTAAAAGACATTACCGACAGCGGATTCACGTTTCTATTTTAATACAAGATAACTGGACTGATTTCTGAATGATTTGGTTATGTAAACATTATTTTAGTGATGTCAGAGTAATTATCAACATATTTCGGCTCTTTCATCGATTTGCACATTAAATAAATGTAGATTCTATATCACTATTTCATGTTACAGCTTCACTTCATCTTAGCTAGCAAGTTTTGATCAAACGGCACTGATTGTACTGAATAGAATTTTATCATGACTTATTGATATGAGACTACACAGAGGCTATGAAAACTGAGTTAGTGTTTTATTCATTTGGGCCTCCTGTATATTTTGGTTTGCCATATAACCAAGAAAGATAGCTGACTTTTTTCCTCTTTGTAAAATGAATAACTGGTGAAATTCTGGATTGTATTTAGTTTCTTTAAGGAACTAATAAGAAATGACAACTATAAATGGAAATCTTATCATTTTTTCTAGAAATGATAATAATTCCTAAAATCTTACAGTATAATACATTCAAAAGACAAGTAGTTAGAGAATAAATTTGTTTGCTTCATTTATTCGGAAGGTTAAACAAAATATTTTAGAAATATGAAGAATTACCTTGATTAAAACTATCATGAAATATAAAATAATTATACCATGGTTATGAAACTACGACATATTGACTGTGATCTACTTCGGCATTACTATTAATAACAAGAGCTAACGAAATATGTTTACTGATTTACTGATCTTTTTTACATAAATGTATTCATCGTGCAAGTTTTTTCTGGAAAGTCCTATATATATACTAGTCTTTGTAGGCATAGATGGATTGTGGTTAGCAGTGGAATCCAGGATGCGCGTTTTCTCCTATTTGGGACTCTTCAGCTGGATATACCTGCAGCTCAGAGTTGATGCTCACTCTGGGACTTGAACCTAGTGCCTTTCACTTCACACAGTACACACAGTAGAGGCTGACCAGTTGCAGTCCTAAGCATCAATGGGAAGATTCAAACAAACAATACCATGTGAATTTATACTAGTCTTCATGTAAAATACTGACTTAGTAAATAAACAACTCTTGATCAATCAATAACATGTAATTGTTGACCCGATAAAAATTATTCTTAACAAAGTGATTTACATAAATCTATTAAATTAATTATTCTGCATATATTAGCATTCCTAAATAAATACTTGTCATGATCTAAGTAATTATATATACAGAACTGTATGAATTGAAAAGTCATGTGCTTTAAAAAGAGTAGAATTACCAAATGAAAATAAAGAAACCTACTAGAAAATGAACTGTTTATTTTTAAAAAAACTGAATGATTTTCATACTATTTGGTATATCCTAGTGAAGAAATAAATACGGGTACCTTCCGGGACACCTATTAATGAACTATTATATATATATATATTCTTGTTTAAATATTGAGTAACTAGATTGTGTATATCTATATTCATCTTATTATACGCTTCATTTTGATCTATGGATTATTATTATACGATTTGCTGCTCCCGAATTATATTCAGTTTATTGATTACTGTCTCTCACGTTCACAGTTACATTTGGCTTGATTTTGTACAAACATTATTTTCAATTTTATGGTGTGATGCATAAACCGAGTATGCTTGAAATAAATGATTCGCATAGATTCGTATAGCAGAAGCTATAATTGGTGTTCTGCATTCAATTGGAAGGGCTAGGCGGAAAAGGGACCAATAAGGACGCTAGACTACTCATACTGGTCGAACGTCATTAATTTGTCAGTGTTAAGATCGGAAAAGTCGTATTTCGATTAGTGGATAATTCACGTGATTAAAGCCGGACATAAAATCAATAACGAACTGAAATACGTCCTTTTTTTATAAAGTCATAACAAATTGGCGACAATCTTTTATAAAG